AGAAACGATGCCCATGTAATGAAAATAAGTTTAAAATATATTCATATAAATTTATAATATGATTAGGTATTTTTTAGTCAACATTAAAGAGCTTAAATTTCATTAAATATCATTTATCTGAAAACTCAATCTTTTCGTATGGGTTAACCCACAGATTTCAAAATAAATTATAAAATACAGCAATTTTCTTTTAATCCAACACAGTCATAAGATGAAGATCAAGGATGTCTGGCTCCTTATTTATCCAATTTCTCTAGAATATAAAGATTTGATAGGGTTTCGTTCTTTGATTTACCTGGTATATGAAGTTTTATTAAATTACTCGATGGAAAATTATAACTGATGCCCATATACCATGAAAATAATTTAGGATAAATTAGTATAAAGTTTTAATGTGGTTAGATATTTTAAACAACACTAAAGAGGTTAGTCTTAAGTACAAAATGCATTTATCGGAAAAATTAATTTTTCGTAGGTGTTAACCCACATATTTCAAAATAAATTAGAAAATATGAAATTTTTGTATTTATGTATAGATCCATCCAACACTGATATATAATGAATATAAAGAGTTTTGATACCTTGGTTATCCAACTTTCTCTAAAAAAATATAGATTTTATAGGGTTTAGTTCACTGATTTTTGTGGTATATGGAGTTTTTTTAATTCCTCGGTTGAAATATAATAATGATGCTCATATACCATGAACATAAGTTTAATTCACTAATATTAATTTTGAATTTGGCTGGGTATTTTTAAACAAATCTAATGAAGACTATATATAACATTTATCGGAAAACTCGATCTTTTGTAGGGGTTAACCCACATATTTCAAGATAAATTAGAAAATATTGTATTTTGTTTTAATGAATTCCTGCATCTTGCACTGGCATAGTATGGGGAATAAAGAGGGTTGTGACCTTAGGTGTTCTCCTTTCTCTATCAAAATAGAGTTTTTATAGGGATTAGTCCACTTATTAGTTGGTATATGAAGTTTAAGTAAATTACTCACTGGAATATTAGAAATGATTCCCATGTACCATGAAAATAATTTTATCATACATATTTATAAATCTGCATTGTGGTTAGGTAATTTTAAACAATACTTAAGAGGCTAAATAGTATAGATAATATGTATCGATAAATTCAAATTTTCATAGGGTTATCCCACATATTTCAAGATAAATTAGAAAAATATGGAATTTTCGTATTAATGCATATATGCATCATGCACTAGCATAATATGAAGATTAAAGATGTTTGCGACCTTAGGTGTTTCCATTTCTCTAGAAAATAGATATTTTATAGGGGTCAGTACACTAATTAGATCGTATACAAAGTTTAAAAGAATTATTCGTCGGAAAATTAGATATGATTCCCATGTACCATGAGATACATTAATATGCATTGGAGTGTGGTTAGTTACTTCTAAAAAAAAAATAGTGAGGCTAAACTATAGTATATATAACATTTATTGGAAAATAAATTTGCTCTTTTCCTAACATAAATTATAAAATATGGTATTTTTTTTTAATGCATAACTTCATAATGCAATGACATGTGATGAAAATTAAAAATTTCTGAGAAATTATGCCCCCATTCTCCAGAAATTATAGATTTTATAGGGGTTAGTCCACTGAACTAGATGGAATATGAAATTTTATCAAATTACTTATTAAAATATTAGAAACGATGCCCATGTTCAATAAAAATAATTTTAAAATACATTAATATAAATTTATAATGTGATTAGGTATTTTTAGTCAACATGAAAGAACTTAAACTTCAGTAAAGATCATTTATCGGAAAACTTAATCCTTTTGTAGGGGTTAACGCACAGATTTCAAAAAAAAAAAATAATACGGTAATTTTCTTTTAATGCATAGATGCATCCATCAGAGATATAATATGGAGATCAAGGATGTCTGACACCTTTGTTGTCAGTTTCGTTAGAATATAGAGATTTCATAAGGTTTAGTTCTTTGATTTACGTAGTATATGAAGTTTTATTAAATTACTCGTTGAAAAATTATAACTAATGTCCATGTACCATGAAAATAAATTTAGGATACATCAGTATAAAATTTTAATGTGGTTAGATATTTTAAACAACACTAAAGATGCTAAACTTAAGTATGAATAGCATTTATCAAAACTCGATCTTTTCATATGGGTTAATCCACAGATTTTAAGATGAATTAGAAAAATATGGAATTTTTGTATTTATGCACAGCTTTATCCAACACTGATATAGGATGAATATCAAAGAGTTTTGATCTCTGAGTTCTCCAAATTTTTCTAGAAAAGAGAGACTGCATAGTTGCATCCACCACTGATAGAGGAAAAGTATAATTTTATAAAAGATACAAATAATAAGGAAAAAATACATATATAATTTACCAAAAAACATGTTAGTGGAGAAGATCTCTTAACGTTGCTATATAATCATATTTTGACTATACATATATTTTTACATGGCTTCAAATAAATTATAAAAGTCATATTCATCATTATAATTTCCCTTTATTAGTTTAGTAAATGATTAGGTTTAAATGTGTTTGCTTCTTTTAATTAGTTTTAAATATATTAAATTGTATGTATAATTTCAAATAACTTACAATATATATATATTTAAATTAGTATTGGCATATTAAATTGAATTATAATCTGAAATTGTAAAACCAATATAAAATTTTAGTAGTCTATAAATGAATATAAACACATGTAATCTACATTGTACACATGTTACAAAAACTTCGTTGAAAAAAAAATAAACAGTATTTTACACAAATATAAGTTATAAAATATGGTATATTTATTTTTATAAAATAAATCTCCATACGACATCGCATGGATTCTATACCTAGTATATATAATATCCTATGAGTAATTACCTCTAGTTTCGATTTGTTCATGTTTTTTCATGTTGACCACTATTTTAATTATGTAATAAAACTTTTGTTAATGAAAATTGTTTAAATTTTTCAAGTTTGTAAATTAAAATGTGTATTTTTCTAATCACAAATAAGCTTTTGGATAATCGAAACCGAATAGAACCAAGCCCAAATTTAGAATGAGTTCATTCGGGTTTATGGAATGCTATCATATCCGAACCATATCTGAAATTCGTCAAAGCCGAACTTCAAAAATATCTGAATATGACTAAATTTATGACTCTGAATAACCAAAATCAAGTTGAATCTAAAGCCTAAACCAAACACGATTGAACACTCAAATGCCCCCAGCATATATCCTTTGTTTGGTTAAGTGCCCCTCCTAGACATATAGAAGTAAGAAAGTGACTTCTCTCTATTGGTTTATGAGTAACACGATGGCATGAAATATTTGAACTTTCCACACGTAAAAGTTTAGTAGTCTGCTATATGGCATTCTCTTATAAAACGACGAATCTAAACCAATAATCATAACATCATGACTGAACTAACTAAAAATGATAAAACAACAAATATCACACATGTCAGGATTTCAATGCCAAACTGCTGAAGCAAAATAAGATAACAATTAGTGACCATTCTTGGGCCACAAAGTGAAGTCACTATATCACCAAAACCTATATCAAGAACCCTAATAAATGCAAAGCTTTCAATATTTTACCAAACTTTTGTATTCAATGCAGTAGCTACATTTTCCTACCCACCTCCCAACAAAAAAAAAATAATAATAATAATCTCCATCACTCTTGTTGTTCCATCTCTCTCACCACATGGCCTTAACCTCTTCCTTCACCATCAAATGTCAACCGCCACAACCATCCCCTTTCTTCCTCCACCTCCTCCAGTCCCTATCCCTACTTACATAACCAGCCTTGGCCTAGGCTACTCCATAGCCATAGCTCTTGGCTTCCTCGTCCTCATCTCCACCATCATCCTCTCTTCCTACATCTGTTGCCGTGCCTCCCGCCTCCGCTTCTCCGCCTCCAACACAGCCACAAACCTGGACTCTTCGTTCGGTAACCGTGGCATTATGGTCCCAAGAATCATATTCGTAGCTGAAGGTGACGATCTTGAGTCAGCTAGTAACGTTGTTGTAGGTGGACTTGATCTACCGATCATCAACTCTTACCCTAAATTCCGTTACACTAAAGGTGATGATGAGTTTCGAGGCGGAGATGGAGACGGAGACACGACGTGTTCAATATGTTTATGTGAGTATATGGAAGAAGAGATGGTAAGGATGATGCCAGAGTGTAAACACTACTTCCATGTTTCTTGTCTTGACGCTTGGCTTAAACTTAATGGTTCTTGTCCCGTTTGTCGAAACTCTCCACTTCCGACGCCTCAGTCAACACCACAGTCTACTCCATTGTCGGAAGTTGTCCCGTTGTCTCAATACTCCGCCGACCGGAGAAGAATAAGAAGTTAATATTACATTTGTTTTTTTGGGATCTGTTGCATTTATTAAAAAAATATCGTTTTGTTGATAGCATTGAAATTAAATCTATGATTACATATCGTTTATGTTGAATCAAACTGAATATTGTATTAGTACAAGAATATGGCTGCATGATTTAGTTAATCATATCTAGCTAATCGAGATTCGGACTAATAAAGTCAAACTATGTATATAAACAAATTGTGCGAGTATAAGATTATTTGTCCGAGATTAATGTCTCTAAAGATGGGACAAAGTAGTTGGAACTTGAGATTTGAACTAAAATGTGTCTAAATATCGGTGGAGTTGACTTAACTGTATGATTTTTATAAGGTTTTGATAGTTTAAAGTGTTATACAGTTGAGCTGAAGCAGTCAACGAGTGTAAAGATAAAATAATGATGCCACAAAAATTAGGTCACGCAAGCTTTTAGATTATGCACCATCCCATAGCGTCGGTTCATAAACAAAGTCTCTAGCTAGGTCAGAGACTTTCGCTTTCGCCATTAATCTTCTGCTTCACTGATCCGATTTCTGACACGTGTCAATAATTTCCATAGCCTTGTTGGCTTCTTTACAAATGTAGTAATAACCAAGTAACAGTTGATGATATGTCTCACTTTTATTCTTTCGTTTTCCATTCAAATTTCCAACAAAACAATACATACATGAGCCAAAGAAAAACATCTTTTACGTCAGAGAAAAATGGGAATAAAAGAACAAAAGGAACAAACAAACTCTGTATGGAGAGGGATCATAATTACAACACAAAATGTAAAGTATGTGTATCTTCTATTTATAATCTTATGGAAGTAGTCTCGAGAGCCGTTGATTACTCTCTGGTGATCTGAGAGGCACCGTCGAGAATTCTGATTCAGGCGACGACAACGATGCGTCTTGTCTTATTGTCTTCTCCGAGTCTTGCTTTGCTGCTGCTGCTGCTGCCTCTTCTGCTTCTCTTCTTTCTCGCTCTTCTGCGTCTTTGAGTAAGAAATCCACCCATAAATCCGCAAAAGACTGCAAATACAAAAACACAAAAGAACAATCTCTCCGAGTGAAAATTGGCTCTGTGTACTCATACTATGACGGCGTTTCTTAGTTGTTTGATCAGTGTAATGAAGGAGTTTTTACCTGGTTATCTGAAGCCGCCGCATTAGGATGTGAACCTGCTGATTTCCCACCCAAGATTCCGCCAACGAAGCGACCGGGAAGACCCAATACGCCTCTTACAACACCTTTACCACCTCCCTGTTGTGCCACTCCAATCCTCTCTTTATCTTCCTCTGAGAATCCCAGCATCCTAACCATTAGGTCCAATACCTATGCACAAGCAATGAAACATCTGAGTTAATTGTGAAATGTCCAAACAAACCAGAACTCGTAATTAATGTTTACCTCTTTGCTATGATTCTTCTGGAAGTAGGTAACCAGTAATTTGATGACGATACGCCTGCAAAAAATTGGTTAGGTTTCATATAAGACATCTAACTATGACAGGAGAATCGAAAAAAAATCTATATGATTGTGTATAAATGGTGTGTACCTATCAACGAGATTATCCGACTCCACTGACATTCTATTTAGCCTCGTCATGCTCTGCTCAAGAACACGCCGTACTTTTGCATTGTCTTCTTCAACCTTGCTCACTCTGCTTTTCCATTCAGCTGCAATCTTTTCGGCTTGCACTAGTTTGGCTGTAAGATCTTCCTTTTCTTTATTCGATGACTCTAACCGCTCATCAGCATCCTTAAGCAATAGCAAAATAGCATCAGACCAATACGGAAATGGTAGGTCATAGTTAAGAAAGGGAAAATATTCCTACTTTCAAACGAGCATTAAGCTTCATGATCTCGTCTTTAGCCACCAGAAGCTCCCGTTCAAAATGTTCCTACAAGAGCACATCAATAAATTGAGTAAATGAAAAAAATGGCAAGATTTTGAGTTTTCTAATGCTAACCTTAGCTTCGATTTCAGCATAATACTGGCCAAGAGCGGTTTGCAGATTTAAAAGTTCAACATTTTTGGACTCGATCGTTCTCAAACAGTTTGTAAGCTTTAGATTTAAGTCATCAATCGTTTCCTTTAACTTTCGGTTTTGATTGTCATTGCTAAGCCTGTTATCCTCCTGATTAGCCATTGCCTGCTTAAGTGTTCTCTCCAACTGTGATATCTGAGACCTTTGATATTCATTAGTCTGGCGAAGTTCTTCAATCAATTGGCTATCTTCATCCATTTTCTCAGATTCTTCGGTTTCCTGTAAAATTATGGCAAAGAAAACATAAACATATTACCTTCTCATAAAATATCAAGAAAATAATGTTTAGAATGAATTGCTAGAAAATGTAGATAGTTTGCAAAATAACGATCAAAAGGATAATAACATGTAATAACAGATGGAGAAATGAATGGATTATGTAGAAAATTAGATTTTACAGTAGCCAACCTTTTCGAGCAAGTGTTGTTTGAGCCGGTTAAGTTCTTGTCGAGCCTTATCCCTTTCTCGCCGTGTTTCCTTCAGATCTGTTTCCAACCTCTGCAAAGACTGCTCCAGTTCTTCTTTTCGAGGAAAGCTTTCTTGCTTTTCCTAGTTATATATGGAACAGTTTAAGAAGAAACGATAAATAAATACTCTACATATCATGGTAGCAATGCAAAATTCGTATATAATAAAGTCTCGTCTGGTTCAAGAACCTTGTCCAGATTACTGGGATGTCTAGTCAGAGTCTCTGTGGCGTCTGGGAAGACTCTGCTACTGGTTGGCTTCCTGCTTTCTTCCAAAGCAGCTTCTAGCTCACTTCGTTTTAACTACGTAGTGAGGAGAAACCAGGTCATATTAGGTTATCGAATGACAATAAGACAGTATGGAGCACAGTAAACCTTAAGCTCGTTGTTTTCCTTCTCCAGAGCTTTGTTAACTTCTTTTAGATGTTCCGTGGCAGTTCCTACAGCGTGGCTCTCCTGACCACTCAACTTCATCTGTAAGTGTTTGATTTCAAGTAATTTTGCATCCAACTCACTACGCACTTTGCTAATCTCCAAGGAGGTCTGCAGAAAACAACAAGTCGTAAATTAAAGATGTTGTATGTATAAAGTCTTTTCTAATTCAAAGACTTACTTTGTTCTTATCTAACCTCAGCGAGTTGAGTTCCGCCTTGAAAGATTCACTCCGCTTCCGCTCCTCTGGTGAAAGTAAGTTAAGTGAGAATACTAGATAACAAAAGAAGTATTAAACTACTAGTAATATTAAATACCCTGTAGAGAAAGCTGGAGGTCTCTTAATTTTTCACGCTCTTTGGCAAGCTCTTTAGCTTGAACAGCTGCCATTGATTTGGTTCTATCTTCTAGCATATCTGCAAGGTCCTAAAATGGCATCCAGATTACCGCTTAGAATTGGGTTTTTACCAAGAGCAAAGGCACTTTTAAAACAACTGAAAATGGTGTCTTACGTATTACAAGATCTATCTACCAAAAAAAAAAACTGGAACTTTACCAAGAATCTCTCTAGTATGTAATTATGTATCCTAGAAAACAAAGAAATTTCATGACCACAAAGCGTTTATCATAAACTAATGGTAAATAAACAATGGGGGTTACCTTTTCATTTATCTGTAAATCGATATCCTTCCCTTTTCCATTGGACATATGGCTTCGAGTCTTTGAATTAGACAAAGATTTTTGTAACCGGTTGGGTGACTGAATGTTGTTTCCCTGAAGAAGATTACAAATAAATTATAAATCTTATAGCTTAAAACCTTCATGCAAGATGGCATAACTAAACAAAATCAGCAAAGAACGCATCTACAAGCTTATAGCAAGATAAGGATGTTGACATAACATTCTGAATAAAAACGCCAAAACCCAGCTTCCTGAAATCTAGATATTACGTTCGACCTAAAAAATAGCTTTGTCTCCAATTAAATCACACTCAGACAACGCTGAGAATATAACCAATAATGCATTTTATTTCAGACAGGATAGCTCTTGAGTAGTTGCAGTGTCTATAGATTGCAACCTAATCACATACTGATGCAAACAAACATCTATATATCACGATTGACAGACCTAAAGAAAAGCTTTCTCTCAAACTAAACCTCACTAACACGACGGTGAGCATATAACCACGTGTATCAAAAATGCACTTCAATTCAGACAGTATAGCTCTTATCGATAGATATATTGCACGTTTGCAACCTAATCACATCTCAAGTTTCTACCTTGGCAGCATTACTGATCTCGGTTCGAGCCTCTTTCAGATTATGTTTCAATGAACCATTCTCCTGGTTCAATCTGGAAATCTGATCCTGTAATCAAATTGCCATTTTGGTGTTAAGGAGATAGGCTTACATAAATATATATATATATATATATATATATATATAATAAAGTAAGAATCTTTTACCTCTTTGTCTCTTAATAAAGCTGCATAATTAACTGATAAAGCTTTAATATCTGCTTCAGACTCCTGAAGCTTCTTAATCTCTGCCTTATACCTCTCAATCTAAATCACAAAAAACAAGCAACATTCTAGTGAAAATTAGTATCCCTAATCCATAGCAATTAATCTAATTAAGACCTAATAATACTACCTCGTGATGAGCGGGGGATTCGATTCCATTGGAGATCGGATACCTCGACCTGGACGGCCTAAACCCATTCGAATTTCTTCGATTAGAGTCAGATGTATCAGCGAATCCATTGGATGAACCGTAACTGTGTAGATCCTCTTCATCTTCGTCGTCGTCGTCGTCGTGGACATCGAGCGCGATCTTGTTCAAATTCTCCTTCAGATTCTCAATCGAACTCCACATAGCTCCTCCTTTCCACAACTACTTGACCTTAATGGATAGATACACGGATTCGTCTCGAATGGTGATGAAGATCGGAGGATTTATTTTCCCAGATGAGATTTGGAATTTAATTAACACTCGTCGTTACGTTTTGAAACTCATTAACACGCTGTGTTAATGGGCTTAGACACTAAAGGCCCAATATAGATAAATGGGTTGCGTTTTAAAATAGACAGTTAGTCTAAGCCCGTTAATATTATTTTTTATGATATGTAGGCCCATTGGTTTATTTTCGAAAAATAACCGATTATTTTAGTTTTCGGTTAATTTCGATATACTTTTTAAAAAACAAATCGATTCTTTTAGTTTAATTTCGGTCATTTTGGTTAACTTCGGCTATTTCGGTTTTTTTGGTTAAATTCGTTTTAGATTTTCAGATATTTTCAGGTAATTTCGGTTATTTTATTTTTTTGATTTTTTCTGATATTTTCAAAACAAATAAAAATAATAATAATCATAAACCGAACCAATAAACTGAATCGATTTTTGAAACTCTACCAAACCAAACCGAACTCAAAATCGAGATTGAACAAAAAACCAAAAAAAAATTGGTTTGATTCGGTTCGGTTGGTTCGGTTCAGACAAAATCCACAGACCTAGTCTGAATTGAATAATTGCATTCAAAGTTTTTTTTTTTTTTGAAAAACAAAATATATTTTTCCCTACCAAGAAAATAAAGCTTACAACAGTTTGTACCAATTTTCAAACGTTATATCTATGAATTCTAACAAAAGTGAATGATCATCTTACCAAGTGCTTGCGCAGTCTCATTTAACAAAAAAAAGTCTTCGTTTAAATTCCCTAGATGCAGAGTTTCCCTCCCATTTGCTATTTGATTTACAACATTTTAATAAGATGAAAGGGTACAATTATTTATATCTGACTTTTTTTGTTGGTTGTCTGTCCATGGATAAAATATCTCACTTGAAAACAAAACAATTATTGTTTGATTGAAGTAAAATAGTATATAATTTAGATCTCAATGAGGAAAAAAATATCTTAACTAGTTAACAATAGAAGAGAAAAAGATCTCGAATATAACAGCAGCGCCTCTTTGAGACCAAGTCTTGGCGAGCAGTTAGCCAACAGGGACAGTGCATCTCCTTTGAGAAATATACTTTTTAACACAAAGTGGTGCCATGGAATATGCCAAAACTCATGAAACTGTGCTTTTACAACCAAAACGTTCATGTTAGCAAAAGACAGCACATAACGTTAAAAACATAGTAGATAAAATAATTTTATATAGTAAAATCCTCTGGGGTAAAATCTAAATTATTTAAAGGAAAAAAATCATCCCTTTTTTTAAACATTGTAAATAAAATAATTTAATATGATTTACATGGTAAAAGTAAATTTATAAAGGTAAAAAATCATCCTTTTTCAAAGTAAACAAAAATGTATGAAGGTAACAAATCATCCTTTTGCAGTAACTGATGATTGATTAACTGAAACTTTTAAAACTTTCTCTTTTTGACGTTTGGCTAATACTATACCTTTTCTGGGAAGTGCGTAGAAAATTGACGGATACCAACCAATGAATGATAGGAGAAGAAAATATCTAAGGCTATAACACGTGGTGTGTCTTGCCATTTCATGACCAGCACTAACTTTTATATAATTTACCCATAACCAAAACAATTTTTGTACTATAGTTTTAAAAAAATTTCAAATGGTACCAAGATTACACACTGACGTGGGCACTCTCAGCCACGTAATATTCTTCCCGAGATATTCGTTTAATTCAAAAATATTATCAAAAACCAACCATATTATAAAGATAAGGAGGAGTCGATGAGGATAACAAACAAGCCGCAGCAAGCGAGAGAGCAAATAACGATTCCGATTCAATGGCGGAAGAGACGGAGAAGAAGAAGTACATTACTCACGACGATCTCAAAACCCACAACAAACCTGGAGATCTATGGATCGCGATCCAAGGCAAAGTCTACAACGTCTCCGATTGGATCAAATCCCACCCCGGAGGGGACACAATAATCCTCAATCTCGTCGGTCAAGATGTAACCGACGCGTTCATCGCGTTCCACCCCGGAACGGCGTGGAACCGTCTCGATAGCCTCTTCACGGGCTACCACATCAGAGACTACCAAGTCTCCGAGGTCTCCCGCGATTACCGCCGAATGGCCATGGAGTTTCGAAGACTCGGACTATTCGAATCCAAAGGACACAACACTCTCTACACTTTAACCTTCATCGCCGCCATGTTCGCGGGAGTCCTGTACGGCGTTCTGGCGTGCGATTCCATCATCGCACGCCAGATCGCCGCAGGCCTGCTCGGCCTCCTCTGGATCCAGAGCGCGTACATAGGCCACGACTCTGGACACTATAACATCATGACTACCAACAAGTGTAACAGAATCGCCCAGCTGATCGCTGGTAACTGCTTAACTGGAATATCAATCGCCTGGTGGAAATGGACTCACAACGCGCACCACCTCGCGTGTAACAGCCTCGATTACGACCCCGATCTTCAGCACATCCCAGTCTTCGCAGTCTCGACAAAGTTCTTCAACTCGATGACGTCACGATTCTACAACCGGAAGCTGACTTTCGACCCCGTGGCGAGGCTTTTGATCAGCTACCAGCATTTCACTTACTACCCGGTCATGTGTTTCGGAAGGATCAATCTCTTTATCCAGACTTTCCTCCTCCTCTTCTCGCGACGCGAGGTGGAAGATCGTGCCCTCAACTTCGCGGGGATATTGGTGTTCTGGACGTGGTTTCCGCTTTTGGTTTCTTGTCTAC